GGGGGGGCGTGAGGTAGCGGGGTGGAAAGGTCGGAGGGGCGGGGCCAGGGACCCCTGGGTGGAGCCAGGAGGTCCGGGGGTGACCTTGGGGGCGGGTCCGGGGTGGAGTCAGAGCACTTGGGACGCAGCGGGGAAGGAAGCGGGGCTGGGAGTGGCAGGAGGGTGTTTTGGCAGGCGCAAGAAGTGGGGGGAGTTTTAGCCTGGGGAGGGGGTGCTCCTAACTGGGCGCTGCTGGGGTTAGTTTCCATCCTACTTACAGCTCTACATGGCTTGACTGCTGCAGGGCTCTCTACGTGGGGCTGCCCTTGAAGACCGCCCGGAAGCTTCGGCTGGTCCAGGAGGCAGCCGGGCAAAGCAGTCTTGGGCATGCCTCGCTATGCCCATGGGACACCTCTGCTTTGCAAGCTGGACGGGTTGCCCGCTGGCTTCCAGGCGCAATTCAGGGTGCTGGTCTACGTAGCGTCGGGCCAGGTTATGTGAGGAAGCGCCCGTCTCCCCTAGCATCTGCCTGGGTGATTTGATCCTGCAGGGTTGGCGCACTGAGGGTTCCTTTGATTAAATTATGCCATCTACTGGGACCCTGGATGGCCCCTACAGTGCGGTGGATGTTTCAGGGGGAATTTCTCAGTCTCATTTATAAGGAGTTCATTAAGGCAGAGACTCTTCAAATGATTTGAAATGCTTCTTCCCAGGTTTCTTGACACCTAGCATTCGTTTTATATGCTTTAACTGAAGTGATCTAGGAGTTGGACTAGATTACAACCGTTTTATATGTATTTTATCAGGTATTTTTTATAATTAAATAAATAACTAATGAAACAGAGACCTGATCCTAAAATATCCTCTTGACATTTTGGCTAAGGATAAGCAGTCTTACCCGATTATAACTTTTAGAATAATTGAAAGAGTTGGGCTGAGGATAGCTTGCAAAATTGTTCTAAAAGGTTCTTCACAAAATAATATAGAAAGCAGTATCTGTCATCTGGCTTATGGTGCTGATAAATACGTCCGTTTTCAAGTTGCTGCAGCACTTTGCTATTAGTATTTAATTTTCATATTTAATCTCTGTTACACGCTTGGAATATTTCTCAGCTACGTCATGCCAAAATCCATTCATAATTAGAATCCTGGAGAAAGGATAGAAGAACACGTAGAAACCAGTTTAAGATAGCATGGAATGTTATTGGATGTAGTTTTGGAAAAGGCAAAATATACGTTAACTGTTTTAGATACATAGAAGTGTGGAAAGATCAGCGCAGTCTTATAGGTGATAAGAGGGAGCAATCTAAACTAGTTGTTAAAAGTCTAGAAGAAAAGAAGTTGGAGGAGAGGAGGATATAGCCTGAAGAAATGTTGGAGAATCAGAACAATGAGGGATCAGGATTGAAATAATGGATAAGAGCAACTTCCTTTTCGTATTATAGCAGTTGAGAGGATGATGAACCTGCAATCAGGAGATTCAAATCTCACCTCTGAGGGACCTTAGTCCATGTCACTTGCAATATAGAGATAATCATTTTGAGTTCCCTTGCTACTTGCCAGGGTTATTTAAGGTGGCTTATGGAGGATTTGTTTGTTCAAGAGTAGGCTGTGACCTGGAGGCTGTTCCCTCTAGGCTTCCTGCCTTGCAGGTGATGATAGAAGGTAGGCTGGAGAACTTGTTGTGGTTGGAAAAGTCTTTCTTTATATGAAGTTTAAGTAATCTTTGTTTGAAAAACAAAATAGTGAATGGGAAAAGGATGCATTTTTAGCTAATTCTACTCTTGGTTAAGGATAGGCATCCTTTTTCGTTTTATGACAGTCTCATAGATGCTTGCCCTCTGAGATTGGCTATGTCCACAAGAGCAGTCACTTGGTGAGAACCCCCCTTCTTTGCAAATCTCAAAAATCCAAAATATATTCAATGTCTCACAAAAGTTGCCAACTCAGATGAACCAATGGCACGTATGCACATCTCTTCCCCCCTCGCCATTACAGTCCAAGAAACTAGGGAAATTCTCTTTTGAGGTGCTTGCCACACCCACACTCCTTCTGCGGACTCAGCTGCAGCTGGTCTGACGGTTGTCTAGTCTGTGGCTGTTCCTCGTGTCTCCCAAGGTCATTCCCACATACCATTACAGATCCTTTCTTTGAGGAGCCAGTGTGGGAATATGTCTTCCCTCCTAGCATTTGTGCTTCCAGAAGAACACAAGGAAAGAGTCCGTGTTTTCCATTTTGTCTCAGTTTTTTAGGATTTTGCTCTCCCACCTGTCTATAATGTGTTTTTTGTTGTTGTTGTTGTTTAGTCGTTAAGTCGTGTCCGACTCTTCGTGACCCCATGAACCATATTGCGCCAGGCCTTCCTGTCCTTCACTGCCTCCCTGAGTTTGCTC